CAAAAATGTGTTGTATTGCGAACTGAAGATGCATGTGTTCGCAAGTGAGTTGCTTGACTGCAAAAGTTAAAGTTTTTAATTTGTTTTGAAATTTATTTGGCTTGTAAAAGACATTCCTTCACACCCAGAAGTCTAGAAAGCTCACCAAAAATTTTTCTTAAAATGGATTTAATACCTCTACTTCCCTTCCCGCAAAAGATCCTGTGATTTCTAATTTAGTACGCACCACGACCCACTCATCCACCGAAAAAAGAGCAAAATAGTTGTATTTCAGCTCTTTACTTTTACTTGGTGAAGAGTGATGAGCTTAATATGAATAAGATAAATATCAAGGAATTTCATGTCCAAAATGTACCTTTCACACTCTTCCTCGGCAGTACACCCATAGGCAGAAGTGCTTTGATGCTGGCCACAAAAGTCAACACAAGGCATTTTGCCAGCACCACGAATGTGTCGACGACCTGGTCGATCATCGTTGGATCTGAAACTCGTGTTAGTTAATGATGTAAAGTTTATTGCCCGAAGCATGAGATTAGCTTATGGTCATGACTGGAAAGCTGCACCATCAACAGGTCATCGAGAGTGAGTATAAAAACTGGCTCCTACCGCATTTGGTCAATGTTTTTAAAAAGCTGGCTCTACACAATTGTAAAACTTTGCTTCAACTCGAACAGGCGTTCGTTCAAAACAGAAAGAGACAGTGTGACAAACACACAGGCTACTACCACAAATGGAGGTTGTAATGTTTTTGGGGACGACGTCAACGTTATCGGAGGCGAAAATCTAACAAGCAAGTTGGAAAGATAGCTAGGCACCTACTGACCCCTCTGATAAGCACCTCTTGACCGACGAACTTTATCGGTCAACTAGAATAGAGCACAGAGAGTGCGTAGTTTTTGGCTTATCAGCAGTGCAACGCGGTAACCAAGGTAACTATCGAGCCTGATTTAGTTAATACACTCCAAGTTCGACCAATTCTTCAGATTGAATTGAAATGCAGATTGAACTTGGAAACATGTAAAGACTGTGGAATTACTTAGCTGAAAAATGACAAATAATTGCAGAAAAATTATTTACCAATATTAGGGCAAAATCGAGAGCTCAAGAAAGACGCGATGGCCGAATGCTTGAAAAGGCTAACTCTATTGATCATTGATTGTATCGATATAAGAAATGAAATGCAAAAAATGTGGCATGAATCCAAATTTCGTTCTGCTTCATAAGGCGAAGAATTGAAGTTCTAAAACGTTTTTGGGGATACACTGCTAACAACAGTGACACAGTAAATCATGTTCTTGTTGAAATTGATGAGGAAAAATTGGAAGCATCGATTATCAGTAACAAGAGACAAGCAAAAATTTTTTCAAGATATTTTGATGAGAAAATTTCGGCTGTAGATGAAATTGGAATTGAAGCAGTGTTTTGTTCGTCCTCTTTTTCCTCGCTTTTTGTATTGACCTTTTTCCAAGGCAAAATGCAAAAAAAAAAAAGAAATCTTCCTTGATTTTGGCAAAATTTTACGAAGTCCTCTTTGACCCTAACCCCTGAACGTAAAAAACCCTCGAAAACGAGACGTCGACTAGAAAATCGTTGCATTTGCGTCTTTTCGGCTCTAAAAAGAAAACCCCTTTTGCTTTTTGTCCCAAAAACGATATCCAGCTTGCTTTCAAGCCACCTGTGCCGAGCCCAGTTTTTTTTTTCCACCAGAAGGTGCTCACCTGAGAAAAAGGTATTACAGCAACAGAACTTAGGTTTGTCAGGGCTTTAACCCACTTCGAGTATCACTAACAAGAGGGCTGTACATAAGAGAAAATCCCAAAAAAATTTTCAAGAAAATTCCTAGCTTATTTACTTTGTAAGCGTGTAATGTTATGTTTTTTCGTAAAAATTCGCATGCACGAAAGTCAAAAATTTTCAGTTTCTAGACATTTCATGACTTTTGAGGGCAAATGGAACGGATTAGCGCATAGCTCCAATTGTACTATGGAAGAATTGAGATTTCTGGCAATTACGCATTCTTTCAAGAAGTTTCGAAGGAAAAGTAAAATAAAGCGGCGCATAGATCT